GACAGACAAATAGTGAAGCTCTTAGGAGCCAGGGAAAGGGTTTTTTACGAAGATGGTATCGAAAACCAAGAAGGAAGCCCCTGTCCCTCCCAAAACTGAAGCCAAAGCAAAGGCAGTGAAGGCCAAGAAGGCAGTGCTAAAAGGCGTCCACAGCTACACAAAAAAGAAGATCCACACATCACCCACTTTCCTGTGGCCCAAGACACTGAGGCTCCGAAGGCAGCCCTAATATCCTCGGAAGCGCGCCCCCAGGAGACAATAGCTGGACCACTGTACCATCTTCCAATTCCCTCTGAATACTGAGTCTTCCATGAAGAAGACTGCAGATAACAACACACTGTGTCCATTGTGGAGGTCAGGGCCAACAAGCATCAGATTAAACAGGCTGTGAACAAGTTCTGGGACGTTGTCGTCACCAAGGACCAAGGTCAACCCCTTGACTAGGCCTGATGGAGAACAGAAGGCCCATGTTCCACCGGCTTCTGACTAGGGTGCTTTGGATGTTGCCAACAAAACTGGGAGCATCTCAACTGAGTCCAGCTGGTGAATTCTAAATAAAACTTTTTCAATGCAAAAAAAAAGAAAAGCTCCAGGGAAAGACTGGTGCCAAGACACATGGCGCTCTCCAAGGACTGCTGGGTCTGCTCACGCTGAAAGGGAACAAGGACCTTTGTCCAGAGCCAGCATTCTGAATTAGGACTCCTAGCCTCCTAAACAGTGACCTGGTATGGTGCTGTAGGATAAGCACTGGACTGCTAACTGCAAGATTGAGGGTTCAAACCCACCAGAAACCCTGTACGGGGTTGCTCAATGGCAGTTTACAACAACAGTCTCCTGAGCTGACAGAGAATCCATTTCAGCTTCTTAAAGCCATCCATTTGTTAAAGCCATCCACTGTGGCATTTCCGTGATAGCATCGCTCAGTAGCCTGTGAAAGCCATCCACTCGTGGCATTTCCTTGATAGCATCGCTTAGTAGCCTGTGAAAGCCATCCACTCGTGGCATTTCCTTGATAGCATCGCTCAGTAGCCTGTGAAAGCCATCCACTCGTGGCATTTCCATGATATCATTGCTCAGTAGCCTGTGAAAGCCATCCCCTGTGGCATTTCTGTGATAACATCGCTCAGTAGCTAAGAAAGAACCCCTAGGTGGGCAGACACTCAAAATGCCCAGTGGCTGCGACAGTAGGCACAAACATATCCGTGATGGTGATGATGGTGCGGGACCAGGCAGTGTTTCCTTCTGTGGTGTGAGGGGTCGCCATGCGTTAGTGATGCGGTTATTGCATCCAGCTTGCCTTTGGGGCTTTAGTGGCTGGAAACCCAATTCTTACTTTCTCGTGGCATAGCTGTCCTTTCTTAGGGGCTCTCTGGGGCTCGGATTCTCAGTAGTTCATTGAAGTTGATGGATCCCCAAGCCCATTTCTCAGCATGGTTTTGGGAACCAGACCCAGTTTCCTCCATCTCAGGGGGTTCACAGGTGACCTTTTGACAACACCCTGAGGGTTTGAATGCTTCCCATACCACACCATGGAATTGATACCGACTCATGGTGCCCTTGTGTGTCCTGGGGCAGCGCTGCAGGATAAGCACTGGACTGCTAACCACAAGGTCCGTGGTTTAAATCCACCAGCCCCAGCCACTCCATGGAAAACCTATACAGGGTCACTGTGCGATGGCAACATGGTGCCCCCACATGTCAGAGTAGAAATGTGTTCCACAGGGTTTCAATTATTGATTTTTCATAGTAGATCACCAGGCTTTTCTTCTGAGGCACCTTTGGCTGAGCTTGAACCTCTGTTTGGTTAACAACCAAGTGTGTTAAGTCCCCCAGGGACTACAAGCCTTCTGCCCTTGGAAAATGGTGTCCGATGCCCCAGGGGCTCATGGGAATGGTAGTCCTAGGATATGGAGTACATTCAATGCAGTGGGCAATGAAGTCTAAAGCCGAGGAGCTGTTGGGAAATGGCCATCCCCCTTACTCTTGCCGCAGGCTGGCCAAGAATGTCCAGAAGCACCAGCAGCTGTTGTGGACCCTGGAGTCCTTGGTTACTGGGCGGGCTGTACGAGAGGTCCGAGACAGGGATGTCCCACTGACCCAGCAGCTGCTACAGTACCACGCAGACCAAGCACACTCCCAGGAAAAGACGATGGCTGACTGGGAGCCCATGGGTAAGAACCAGGAGTCCCAGCTGCCAGCCCATGCCCCCCTCCCCATGTCCCAGGGGTACCAGCCCAGCCCCCTCTGTTTCTCTGGCAGGGGTAGTTGGCCTCATCCTGCCACCCACATTCTCCTTCCTTGAGATGATGTGGAGGATTTGCCCTGCTCTGGCTATGGGTGAGTGATGGGCAGGGCCTGGACTTCTGGGTGTGAGGGAGGAGGGGGCCGGGCGGGGAAGGAACTTCTGGGTCTGAAGGAAGAGGGGGCCCGGGTCGGGGACTTCTGGTTCTGAGGGAGAAGGGGTTTGGGTCAGGGACTCCTAGGCTTAAGGGGGACAGGGCTATGGACCTGGATTTCAGAGCCTTGACCAACCCCCTTCCCCAGGCTGCACTGTAGTGGTCCTCGTGCCCCCGGTCTCCCCCACGCCCCTCCTCCTGGCTCAACTGGCAGGCGAATTAGGCACCTTCCCAGGAATCCTCAATGTGCTTATGGGCTCCACCCCACTGGGGCCTGTCCTGGCCTCCCAGCCTTGCGTCCAGAAGGTGGTCTTCTGTGGAGCTGTTGAGGTAGCTTCAGGGCTGGGAGTGGGGTGAACACAGTTGGGGGTAAAGGCTGCTACCCCAGGTAAACCCTCAGGGGTCTTACAGGAAGGACGTGCCCTTCGGCGGACCCTGGCGGGCCACGGCGTCGAGCTGGCCCTGGCGCTGGGGACAGAGTCGCTGCTGCTGCTGGCAGACACAGCGGACGTGGATTCCGCCGTGGAGGGTGTTGTGGATGCAGCTTGGTCAGACCGAAGCCCGGTGAGACCCCCAAGACCCCCACGTCTGGGGCTCTGTGTCTGCCCACATTTTCATTTTCCCATCTTCCTGTCCCCAAACTGCCTTTATACCATGGATTCTCCAAGACCCCTGATCCCCTTGACTTAATTTGTCCTTTTATTTCAATTGTGAAATATACATAACAAAACATTCGCCATCACACCTCTTCTTCCCAGGCATAAATCAGTGTCCTAAAACCCACTCACCATTCACCCTATAGGTTCAGATATCACCTCTAACCTTGTCCAAATTTTTTCATCACCCTTGAGACTCAAGGAGCCCTGGTGGCTCAGTGGTCAAACACCCAGACGTGATTTGAAGCCACCAGCTGTACCATGGAAGAAAGACCTGGTGATCTGCTCCCATAAGCTGACAGCCTAGGAACCCCTGTGGGCAGTTCTACTCTGTCACGTGGGGTCAATCTATTTCAGGGCACTTAACAATGACAGGGAGTCCTGGTGTGGCACTGTGCGTTAATGTGCCAGACTGCAAAGCCATTTGAACCTCAGGGTCGGCAGTTCAAGCTCACCAACTGCTCCTCAGAAACCCTATCTAGAGTCGCTATTGGTCAGAACTGACTCAATGACACTTCACAATAACAACAATGACAGACACATCGCCTCAACTCCCTGAACCTCCAGGCCCCTGGTGCCCCTGGTCTCAGCCAGCCTAGATTTCCTTATTCCTGGTTCTGTATTGTGTTGTGAAATGCCGTCAAGTCAGTTCCAATTCATAGCGACTCTGTATAGGGTTTCTCAGGAGTGGGTGGTGAGTTTAAACCACCGACCTTGTGGTTCAAACTGACCTTATCGTCTGTGCTTATCCAAAATGCCTCCCCAGGCCTCCCCCTGGTTCTGTAGGACTACACTTTTCTGAGCATCTAGGTCCCTGGTTTTCCACATACCATCTTAGCTCTACAAATAGCCAAGTTCTTGTGATGCCACATCTAACCTGACAGTTATCTGACAAGGATCCCTGACAGTTTCTGGGGTCTTCAGCCCCTTCTCCATGACCAACCTCAGGCACGTTCCTTCCTGCTCTGTGTGGGGGTATCCCCAAGTCTCAGCCCTTGTGGGGAGCTGATTCCCCCACCTGGGCCCTGAGTTTGCCCATTCTGACACCACTTTTCCTAACAGGGGGGCCTGAGGCTCCTTGTCCAGGAGTCCATGTGGGACGAGACCACGAGGCGGCTCCAGGCACGGATGAGGCAGCTGCGGGCTGGCCGAGGACTGGATGGAGCCGTGGACATGGGGGCTCGAGGGGCAGCCTCACTTGCCCAGGCCCAGCACTATGTTCACAAGGCCCAGAGCCAAGGGGCACAGGTACGCCCGGGGGCGTGAACTCCTGGCTCTGAGGGAGTTGGTGCTGAGAGTCTGGTGTCTTGGGTCCCAGGCTTCACCCAGTCTAAGGGAGGAAGAAGGTAGAGTTTGGATTCCTGGCTCTCAGGGAGGAGGCAGCTGGAGGGAGACTTCTAGAAATAATTCTCTTTCTCTCCAGGTGTTCCAAGCTGGCGATGTGCCCACAAACAGCCCGTTCTTCCCCCCGACCTTGATCTCTGACCTGCCTCCAGCCGCCCCTTGTGCCCAGTCTGAGGTGAGCCCTTTAGGATGGGAGTTCCTATGCTGCTCTCAGCCAGACATAGGCAGCCCCCCAGCGTCCTCCAGAAACCCCTGGGGCGGCGAGTCTCCTGGTCTGGGGGCTGTGGAGCTTGTCTCAGCACTTGTTTCTGATCCCAGGTTCCCTGGCCTGTGGTTGTGGCCTTCCCGTTCCGCACGACCAAGGAGGGCCTGGCTCTGGCCAATGGGATGTTCCAGGGAAACAGCGCCAGCGTGTGGAGCGAGAGGCTGGGGCAAGCACTGGACCTGGGCTACGGGTCAGTCACCTCCCTCAGAGCACAGAGGGCTGCTGGGATGCACAGCTGTCACTCTCTGTCGTGATGACTTCCTTCTCTCTGGGTCTCTGTCCCTGTGTCTCTCTGCCCTCTCTAATCCTTCCCACTTTCCTTTTCTCTCTCTGGCTCTGTCTCTCCTGTAGGCTCCAGGTGGGCACAGTCTGGATCAATACCCACGGCCTCAGCGACCCTGCAGTACCTGTGGGTGGAAGCAAGACGAACGGTTCTTCCCAGCATGGGGGCCTAGATGTGAGTGCACCTCATCACCCTCCCCCAGGCCCACCTGTGGCCTCTTGACACTGTCCCCTTCACAGGGCTGTTACGAGTATCTGAGGCCCACAGCACTCCCTGCCCGGCAGCCCTACCTGTCTGAGAGTCTGAACTATGACACCTTTGGCCTTGCTATCCCCTCCTCCCAACCAGCTGAGCCTGAAATGCAGCCCAGGTAAGCAGTTACAGGGGTTGCACCTCCCAGAATCCTTGGGGCCAGGGGCCAGTTGATCTGGGGCTGTGTCTGGCTTCGCCTGGGCTGGAGGGCTATCTTGCTGGGTATTGCTTCTGGCTCATATGCTCTCACCTTCTGAGGCTGCTAGGAGTCTCTGTTCTCACCAATGCCTATCTGGGCCCAGAGGCTCAAGGGAGCAGGGGCCTGGGGTCCCCCAGAGACTCAGGGAGCTGAAGTGTGGAATTGCATGGAGGCATCTGGCAGCAAGGGTCTGGGGTCTCCACCAGTTCATGGGAACAGGTATTTGCAGAGCCCTGCTAAGGCTCATGGCAGCTGAGGTAGTTCATCTAATGGGATGGAGCATGGGGTTAAAGCAGACTCTGATCCCAAGACCCACCCTCACCCCTTGCCCCACCCTAGCCCAGTGCCCCGCTATGGGCTCTTTGTTGGGGGCCGTTTCCAGACCCCAGGAGCCCAGAGTTCCAGGCCCATCCGGGATCACTCTGGCAAGCTCCAGGGCTACGTGGCTGAGGGTACAGCCAAAACCATCCAAGATGCGGTGCAGGCTGCTCATCAGGCCACCTCTGGGTAAGTGGAGTCACACAGAATACCTGGGGTCGTGGGGTGGCAGAGAGGGTAGTCTAGGACCCCAAAGTACTGATGGGCTGTGGTGCTGAGCTCCCAGGGTGGGGGCTGATGGCGTGTGGCATGTGGACCCCAAGGAGGTAGGATCCAGCCCCTCATCCACACCCTGGGGACAATGGGCCATGGGGTGTAGACCCCCAGGGTAGGGACTGTGGAGAGAGGTGGGCACCTTGGAAGAGCCAGGACTAGGCTGCTGACCTCCCTATGTGCTCCATCTGTACACAGCTGGGTGGCCCAGTCACCAGCTTCCCGGGTGGCCGTGCTCTGGGCCTTGGCGGCTGCATTGGAAAACCACAACTCTGCCTTGGTCTCGATTCTGGAACGTCAGGGAATGAAGCCTGAGGCCGCCAAAAAGGAGCTGAAACTAAGCATGGAGCGGCTTCGGGAGTGGAGGAGCCCCCAGGCCCAGGGCCAAATCCTGCAGGTAAGAGGGGTCTGTGGCGGTGGGCGGACAGGACAGACAGTCCTGCACAAGGTTCGAAACAAGGGACTGAGACAGGCCTCAGGGTCCAGGCTCAGCTCCACCCCTCACCATGCATGAATGATCATTCCAGGTTTTGCCTTTGTACTTCAGTTTTCTCATCTGTGAATTGGAGCTACATCCATCCTATGCCATAGAAGTGGTGGTGGTGGTGGTGGTGATTAAGTGTCATAGAGTCAGTTCCAACTCACAGCGACTCTGTAGAGGGTTTCCAAGGATCGGCTGGTGGGTTTAAAGTGCCGACCTTGTGGTTAGCAGTCCAGTGCTGATCTTACAGAGCCTTGAGTTGGAGCCTTTTGATGACAGTTAACAACATTTCCCTGGTGGCTCTGTAGGGTCGCTGACCTTGCGGATTATACCCTGCGTTCATACATCTTACCTTTATTCTGACTGGATGAGGATCAGTATGAATCCAGTTTCCACTTGAAAGACATTATACCCCAGGCTCCATAATCCTTGCTGTCAGCCAACCTAGAGACATACTCTTGCCAACCTCTAGCCACCTAGGGCCGACTTGGAGTTCACAAGTATCAAAAGCTAAATGTACAGCTCAACCCCCGTGACTCAACGGACAGCCAAGCAGTGGGCAGTCCTATGCCCAACCAAACCCACTGCCAGGGCGCTCATTTCCGACTCGCAGTGACCGTATACAGGGTTTCTGGGACTGCCAGTCCTTATAGGAACAGAAAGCCTCGTCTTTCTCCCATGGAACAGCTGCTGCATTTGAACTACTGACTTTGCAGTTAGCAATCCAGTACTTATCCTGCAGCACCACTAAGGTTCCTTGGACAGTCCTATAGCGTGAAGAGTAGCACCTGGGAGGAGCTCACTCCTTGGACCAATCTGCTGGGCAGGATCAGCAGAGCAGCATCGGCCCTCAGTAGGCGGGAATGGCTAGGAGGGGAGAACCAATGGGAACACTAAATAGGAAGGAAGTGGGAAGAGTACTGTTGCATTGTGGATACTGCAGTCAGTGCCATGAAACCAAATGTGTGAAATGTTGAATAGAAAGCAGTTTGCTCTGTAAACCACTCAAATCACAATAAAAAGATTTTTTTTTTAACCCTAAGTGCATAAACACCAAAAATTAGTGAAACAGTATGTTTACTATGAGTAGATAGGATTGGAGGGATTACTGGTGTGGGGTTGTAAGATAAGTACCAGAATGCTAACCACAAGGTAGTGTAGTGGTTCAGACTCACCAGCTGCTCCTCAGAAGCCCTATACAGTCATTATGAGTCAGAACTGACTGGCCCCTCACTTGACAGATACGATTGAAATCTGGCAGTATCAAAACCAGATGTATTTGGAAAGGTGCGCTAAAGAGTGGACAGTGAGAAGGGGTTGTTACCTAGACCATCACTATGTTACTTTCATAGAAGCTAGCACAGGGCAGGGTTTCAGGTCCATCTAGTGCAGAAACAATCACCAAGGACATGCTCTTCATCCTGAAAGACATCCTCTAGTCAGACCCTGGAGACATGTATAAGCACTGGACTTCTAACCACAAAGTCAGGAGTTCAAACCCAACTCAAACTCTGTATGGGATCATCATGAATCAGAACTGACTCCAGGGCACTTAGCAACAGTCAGACCCTGTAGTTCCTTAGCTGTTTACTAACCATTTACTGTTTGATCTGATAGTAACTCCAAGGAACCAGTTCAGTTCTTTCAAGGATGCGAAGGCACCTAAAGGCATATTGTTGTTTTTGTTGTTGTTAGGTGCCATCAAGTCCCTTCAGACTCATAGAACCCCATGCACAACAGAACAAAATTCTGCTGGATTCTGAGTCATCCTCACAATGATTGTTTAAGCTCATTTGTTGCTGCCATCTTGTCAACCCAGCTTGTTAAATAAAGATCTTCCTTTGATTAATTGACCCTCCACTTTACCAAGCATGATGTCCTTTTCCAGGGACTGCTCCCTACTTACTAACAGTATGTTCAAAGAATGAGAGATGATGTCTCTCCATCCTCGCTTCTAAAGAACATTCTGCCTGTTCTTCTAACACAAGTTTGTTTTTTCTTCTGGCAGTCCATGGTACTTTCAATACTCTTCACCAACACCATAATTCAAATACATCAATTCTTCTAAGGTCTTCCTTAGTCATTGTCCAATTTTTACATACATATGAGGCGATTGAAAGTACTATGGCTTGGGTCAGGGCACCTTAGTCCTCAAAGTGACATCTTTACTGTTTAACACTTTAAAGAAGCTGAATTGCCTAATGCAATAATGTCATTTGCTTTCTTGACTACTGCTTTCATAAGTGTTGATTGGGGATCCAAGCAAAACAAAGTCTTGGATAACTTCAATCTTTTCCCCATTTATCATGATGTTATTTATTGGTCCAGTTTTGAGGATTTTTGTTTTCTTTACATAGAGGTGCCATCCATATTGATGGCTGTTGTCTTTGATCTTCATCGGTAAATATTTAAGTCCTCTTCACTTCCAGCAAAGAAAGTTGTGTCATCTGTATATCTCAGGTTGTTAGTGAATCTTGCTCCAATCCTGATGCCACATTCTTCTTCAAATAATTCCACTTCTCAGATTATTTGCTCAGCACCTATGGTTATTTGCAACCCTAACTCACATCTTTCCTGGTTTTAAGTTATTCAATATATTCTTTTTCTGTGTGAACGACTGCCTCTTGGTCTATGGACAGGTTCCTCAGGAGCACAATTAAGTGTTCTGGAATGCCCATTCTTTGCAATGTTATCAATAGTTTTTCTAGTTGAATGCCATTCATCTAGTTGAATGCCTTTGCATAGTCAATAATATTAACACAAGTAAACATCTTTCTGGTGTTCTCTGCTTTTAGCCAATATATATCTGACATCAGCAATGATATCCCTCATTCCATGTCCTCTTCTGAATCTACTTTAAATTTCTAGTAGCTCCTGTGAATGTACTGCTACAACCATTTTTAAGTTACCTTCAGCAACATTTTACTTTCATGTGATATTAATTATATTGTTCAATGACTTTCTCACTCACTGGGTTACCTTTCTTTGGAATAGGCACAAATAAGGATCTCTTCCAATTGATTGAACAAGTAGCTGTCTTCCAAATTTC